ACATCAATCGCAGAACCGCTATCAAAACAGCTATCAGAACTTCCGAGAGAAAGGTGTGTAGATTAAGCATCATAATAGATAGTTCCATCTTTGGTGCCATGCGGTTGTCTATACTTAGATGTAGTTACGTAATCGGAGTATCCTGGGGTCTGACGTCAAACAAGATGGGCGCCTTACCTAAAAATAGTTTGCGTCTTTCTACTTTTAATCGCATGTGGTTTGGTTCAAAACCTAGTAGTAGACTCTTTTCTAAAACTAGGGCTAGAGATCTAATCTAGATGTTTACTGAGGAGACTTTTCGGAGTATACTACTGTATACTCTTGGTAGAGTTGTAGGCCTACAGTAAGATCTAGAGTCCTAGCCTAGAGACAGAGAACCTAGAGAATCAAGATAGAAGCCAGGTAGGAAGCGGAAGGGGGCCAAAATATAGATATCTCTAGCCTACTCTAGGCCTAACAACAAGCTTGGCTTACTAACACAATTGTGATTTGACAGTTTCAGAAATAACAAAGATTAGCTCTTTGAAAAGTACAAAGCTCAGCGATTCTATTTTACCAAAGAGAAACGGAAATGGGCAGGGACCTCTTTATTTCTTCCACAAATTCCTCATTCTCTATTTTTGGTTGGAATGTGTAAGCCTGTCACACAGCACTTGCTACACACAACACAACAGGTCTCTAATGATGAGTACGAGCAACCAAAAAGACGATACAAAGTTTCGTACAAATGACTCTTCAGTTCACAAATACTAGATTCTAAGTAAAAGCAGAAAAGCAAAATGATTTAATTATAATTAAATCAAAACGGTGGCGTGTTCAATAACTTTGGAAAACAAGTGTTGTTGAAACACGGAAGGCAACATTTTTTTCAGAAATTTGAAAGGGGAGTAACTCGTTTCGTACGTTGCGCCGTTTTGCAAAATTTGTTCGCACCCTCCTTTGAAGAAGAAAAGTTAATAAAACATAGAACTCACTCACCCTTGAAGTAACTTCAATGCACATCCGCACGTTCAATATCCATTACAGTGTCATTGTATTCCTGTAGGCTGTGTTACAATGTCTACCGATGGCAGTCCTACAACAACAGACAACACATAACGTCCATTTTGGATTGTCTTGAATCTTGACCAAACGCTGAGGTCACGTGACTATGTTGATGAATGCAAACGTGCGGATGATATTTTTAAAGTCACACTAGCAGCCGGCTCCTCGGTAGTATAGTGGTAAGTATCCCCGCCTGTCACGCGGGAGACCGGGGTTCGATTCCCCGCCGGGGAGATGATAATTTTTTTCCTTCCTCTCTTCCTGTCTTGTTATTATATCATAATAATTTAAATTTTACTGAAAGCTATTTTTCTTTTCCTTGAAGGCACATTGTACATTAATGTACTTGTAGTGATCAAGAATTAAACATGATTCCTCCAAACTCTAAATCATTGTTTTTGCTCAGAATCTGTCATGTCACGGTTCTCACACGCTGTATTATATTTATTTTGATGGTACCTTTAGATCTAATCATTATCTTGATAACAAGGTTGCTTTAACTTTCATGAGTTGTATGATGGACTTCGGCAAAGAAAATGATGCCAAAACAATTATCGACCACACTACCAACATGGTTTGACTGTCATTTGGCTTTGCTTGTATGAAAGGTTTCCGCCTCGCCGTGTTCACCTAGACGGGGTCTGCATGTTCGCTGTATATCAGATCCATTAGATCTAGATCTATATATATACTTCGTCTTCTTCTTTTGTTTTGTTTGTTTTGTTTCATTCGAACTTTGAAAGAGTATTATATTCCTCGAAACATTATCAATATTTTTTTTAATACGCTAGTCGTCCACACGAAGAACCAAAAGAAGTTGGTTATCTAGGCCTAATTTTAAATCTTGTGAGCGTCCTGTGTCGGCTTGACGACTGATGTATCTGCAGTCCTTTTTAATTCTTTTTCATAATTTGATTTTTTATGTGGTTCTTTATTATCATTTTCTTTTAATATTTTATTTACAAAGAATATTAGTTTTCTCTGCTGTAATTACTCATTCTCGACGTTAATCTAAAACTTGTTTACACTGTCTTCACTCTTATTCATTATCATGTCTGCTCTTTGAACGCGACTGGCTGAATTACTGAATATGTCTATTTTAATCTCGTTATTCCCCTGATCTGAACCCACGGGCCCTATTGCAGGATTGGCAGGTCTATCATATTATGCACCAGATAATCCAAAGAAACGAAGACTAAATATCTAAATCGTCGAAGGGAAGAGAGAGA